TATATATATATCTTTCTCATGATTTCTGCTAGTTTTCAATAAGAAGGTAGATAAGCCCAAAGAATGCTATATCTGTCTTACACCAATAAGACCTATTTTACACTAAGAACAACAATGTATTTCCATTTTCCAGGTGCCTCTTTGCTCCTTCTGTCTTGTGGCTACTCATGAGGGGGTGAAGTTCACAGAGGCTTTCGGATGGACTCTTCAGGGCTGAGACCAAGAGCCACCCCTTAAAAAGTGCTGCTTGTCAATCCAGTTAACAAATGAGATTAACATCCTCATCTTAATGAGTGGCTGGTTCCCAGTCTGTTATTTCACAGGTTGACACTAGATGTCAGGGAAAGACTTAGCATTCTAATTTGCAGGTCTCAACACCATCCAGCAGAAAGGAAGGCTGCCTGCTGAGGGAAATCAGATATTGAAAATTGGCAAATTTCCCACTGTGACTACTGGGGACACCAGGGTTCTTATGCAAAAACATCACTACCCTGCACATGCCCTATTAGATATACCTTTGATGCTGTTAAATTCCATTTACATGCCCTGGACAGGTAGCTCTGTTGGTTAGTGTTGTCCCTATATGCCAGGGTTGTGGGTTCAACCCCCCAGTCAGGGCACATACAAAAATCAACCAATGAGTACATACATAAGTAGAATAACAAATTTCTCTCTCTCTCTCTTCCTCCCTCTCTAAAAATCAATTAAAAAACCCCCATTTATAGAATGGTTTATGTCAAGGTCACTTCAGAGAATTAGGTTATTTTGGGAGGGGAGAAATGAGAATCACCAATTTATTCTTTCAACTTTATTATAAAAGACATTCAATTTTATTTAGAACAAAAAAGAACAGTAGATATAGCATGGTCATGTTCTTATAATCCTTTTTGTTAGTGAATTAGGAAACAGCCAACCTGATTAAAAATTACATGAATGTCTCGTAAGATCATTCCAGTACTCTGTGGTAGTTTCTTTCATTTAATAAATGATATTAACTAAAAATGTGGTTTTGCTGCAGAATAACTAAATCTTGACCTGCTTTAGTTACATTGATAGATTCCCAAGGCTCTCAGCCCCTTAACAGGCTTTCTGATGTAATAAAAAGCCATGTGCTTTTTCATTACTGTGGATGGCACATTCAAAAAAATTTCCCCCGCCCACTGTGCCTCTCTCTCTCTCTTTCTCTCTTATCCTCCTCTCCCCCCGCCACCCCACTACTTACCTACCTGAAAAAAGGCAATGTGAACAAACTGAAATCAGGCAGGACAGTGTAAAGAACAAAGCCAGAAAAGGGTACATGATTTTCCTCATCATGCACACCCCTCCCCCAATTCTAAACGGTCACCGCCATAGTCTTCTCAATCATCCTTGGAAAATCTGCACGCCCAAGGCTAAAAATAGCACTCCCCCAGTGGGAAGAGGGCCCACCCAGACATAGTGTAATAGTCCCACCCATGGAAATACATCCCAGGAATCTTCTTGGTAATTCTGGAAGCCATTATATCATCATCAAAAATAGCATTTTAATGTCACATGGGTGTGTCTTCACTTATTTGTGAGCTGGATGTTGGGCAAGGCTCAGGGAACATGAGAAGAAAAAGACAGAGCTTCTCTGAAGGCTTTCAGTGGAGATGGGAGGCAAACAGGCCAACAAATCATTCTAACATTCATGACAGATATTGACAAGGATATCTGTTGCCGCACAGCGATCTTGACAACCTCTTCCTGTTGGATAAAAATTGATGTGGGCCAACGATCGAGGTAGTTACTCACTGTAACTCAGATTAGAAGATTACTCAGACAGGAATAAAAATATGGAGGACTGTCAGTATTGTTGATTGATTTGTTGACTGGCTTATTAATTAAAAATACTCACATGGTACATACTATGTGCTAGGTATCATTCTAAGAATTTTGCAACCATCAATCCATTTCATCCTAAAAACAGACCTACTAAGTAGGTACCAGTATGAGTCCTATGTTACAGATAAGTAACTTGCCCAAGTATTGATAACTAGAGCTAGAATCCTGAGAGCTATTTCCCTTACCTTTTCTTCTACCCAGTTTGAATCCCCACCCAACAACCTTGTGTTATGATAATAGTAGAGGCCTGGTGCACGAAATTTATGCACTGGGGGGGGGGTCCCTCAGCCTGGCCTGTGCCCTCTCGCAGTCTAGGAGCCCTTGGGGGATGTCCTACTGACGGCTTAGGCCAAATCCCCTGACACAGCAGCTTCTGTGTGCTCTCCTGTATATCACCCACTCTGGGGAAGGCCAGCTGCCATGTCACAGGGACCTTTAAGCAGTATGATGGAGACCTCCACATGGTGATTGAAGCTCCTTCCAGCAGCCGGTATCAGCTGGCCAGTCCCATGAGTGAGCTATTATTCTCTTGATAGCAATCACCCCTATCTGAATTGTCTCATTCATTTATTTGTTTATTTGTTTTTGTGATCCCCTCCCCCACTCCTCATGTCATCGACATTTTAGAGAGCAGTGGTTGTCTTGTTCACTCAGTGCATCCCAAGTGCCTTGAAGAGTACTTGGCATACAGTGGATGCACAACAAATATCCCAGCGAGTGAACTTCTGACCTGGAATTGTTGGCTATAAGATGAAACTATGCATAGTCATCATGCAGAAATCATATATATTAGATATAGTAGAAATGCACCCAGCACAGATTCCTGGGATATTTTAAGAACTCAAGAAATGTGATTTTCCATTCTCTCTTGTCCATATTTATTGCAAAGTCATCTCAAGGTTCCTAAAATGATAAGAATTCCATGCCTCTCACCTTGTCCACTCCTACTCCCCCCCCCCCCCCCCCCCCCCCCCCCCATCCTGGACTACTTTAGTATCCCTTAATCCTTCCCATTCATGTTCTGCTCCAATTCCTACTCTTTTCTGGTCTCTTCCACAGTTATTAGGATAAGTGTGCCCCCTGGTGTCCACTTCAGACATGACACATTGTGGGGGATGGGAGGATGAGTTACCGAAGGAGAGAAGCATTTATGGATCATTTCAAGCAAATTCAAGAGGGGAGATACCAGCCCCAAGTTCAGATAAAAGTGTGGCCCACAGGAACTATGGTCTCCATATGCATTCTTCATGAAATCCGCATTGCCCTCTATGACCTCATCGTTGGTCTCAGTTTGTGATCTAGCTACTCACACAGATTATTGCCTCCTCTCATCAGAAAAATCAGCCTCCAATTGATTTTCTTTCCACACATATCCCTCCTTCAAGTAAAGCATCATTTTCCTAAAGTTCATATTTTCTCAGGCCATTAATCTGCTCAAAAAAATATTCAATGACTTCAAATTATATGAAGAACAAAGTCCCATCTCCTCAGCCTGGTATCCAAGACATTTCAGAGTCCGGGTTTAATCTGCCTTTGCAGTTTTAGTCTGTTCTACTCTCCCCTGCCTCCCCGACCCTCACATGCTTACGTGTCCGGCACCTTGACCATGTCTCAAAGCTATGCCTCTACTTCATCAAAGCTGTGTCGACCTTCATGCTGTTTTCTCTATCCCTCTACTTTCCTTTGCCCATTTAATCCCAGGTGACTCAAACCCAGTTCAAAGACTCTGACTTCCACGAACTGCCTGACCATTGTTCATGTTGCCACCATGACAATTAGACTACATCTTATAATTGGTTTGATTTTCTACATACTTGCCTTTGCCAGGTTTGTAAGTTTCTTTAGGGCAGGGGTGGTATCTGATCTATTTAATACATAGTAGGTTCATAACCTGAATGGGTAAGTGAATATCAATGCTGAGGCTGGAGTCCGTGTTTCTGGAGCCTAGTCAGACTGGTCTGAGAGGGAAGAGGCCACTTATGTTAATATTGGGACAGAATATTTAAAATTGGAATGGCCTTGGGCATAAGTAGTCTAAACTGAAAGTTGGGTTTCCACTTCAGTTCTGTGAGCCTGAGCTTCCTTAGGGAAATGATGCACACAGTCATTTCTGAATCTCCTTCTTTATATTGAAAGGAAGAAAGCGAGGAGGAACTCAGGAAATGTCTTCTGTACTCTGATAAAAGGCAAAGTGTGAAAGTTGACATTGTTAGACTATCAATGACATGCGTATGGGAAGTTGTATTTCTGAAGCACTATGCCATACCAAAATTTAATTTAGTTTTATATTTCTTTTGTTTGTATCCCATGGCAGCTGTATTTTACAAGTAATTGAAACAAACAAGACTGATGCTATGATATAATCTCTTAACTAATTTCAAGACAAAGGACTATATAGTAATATATAGTGGATTCAACACAGTCCTGGAGCTTTAGTAACTAGATAAATAAAAACTTATCTTCTTCCTGAGTCACTTTGCTGTTTTTCTTAATGATCTTTTGTCTCTGTTTCCTCATCTGAAATTTGGAAATATATGACTTCCAATGTTACTAACAAGTTAGGTGTCTAGTGAAAACTAATTGAGTTAGTCCTATAAAATTGAACATTTTCCAGAAAAATGCCAGTTGTATTAGAAAAAGTTAAATTTGAAGTTGCATGCTTGGGATCTGTCTTTCTGGATCATAGACCTGTACCCTGAGACCAACATTATAGGGTGCATTGTCCTTGATTGCTCTTCTTGGCTTTTGGGGAGGACATTTGCCTGCCTCAGAGAACAACCTTCTGGCATTAAGGTGGCTAAGTTTGGAATATCTACTGCCAGGTTCTATACAGAAGGCTACCACGACAATCAGGCCAAGTCCCAATAACCCAACCTCAAGGGAAGATACAAACCAGCTAGAGAGGCTGGTGAGAGCCACTCAGCCAGTCTCTGGGTTTCTACCTCTATTTCTGGGTGGAAGAATACATTTTCTCATCAGGCATGTCATACTAATAAAAAAATGGACCAATCATATTACTTACAATCACTTGTACCATGTGGTTTAATAAGCAAGATATGCTATAAATGCTTACTTAGCTCTATGCAGCGGTTCTCAACCTGTGGGTCGCCAACAATGAAAATACATCCTGCATATCAGATATTTACATTATGATTCATAACAGTAGCAAAATTACAGTTATGAAGTAGCAACGAAAATAATTTTATGGTTGGGGGTCACCACAACATGAGGAACTATATTAAAGGGTCGCGGCATTAGGAAGGTTGAAAACCACTGCTGGTTTATGGCAATGTAAACTCAGTCTAATTTTAAGACTAATTAGAGTCTAGTGGGTTTGGGGCAGGTTCCCACATTCCCTGAGGTTTTTGAAAACTTTAGGCCAATCTTGGATCTTGAAGACTAATTAAGTGGGGCTTCTCCTTGACTAGCCAGGACAACTTCATTTGGCACTCATCTGTTGCAGCCCTTCAAAGTCATCCTCGGGTGAAGGTTTAGACATTTCTTGAGGGGACTAGCCAGAACTTGACACTCTGAGGCCCACCATGAGGAGAAAGTGTTCCTGTGGGTCAGATCTTTCATGCTTATGCAAACTTGTAGAGAATTATTCCAGAAGTCCCAGCCACTGCTCAGAAAATAGCATATAATTTATATCATGTTCCTGGCAAACTTAAGCTACTTTGTATGGCCTTG